GCAGGCCGGACGAATGGGACGATCCGAGAATGGGTCCCGATAATTCCCAATAAGCGCGCCTCTTACAACTGAGTTCTTCAGTAAGGGTAGACTCGCTGGCTCGGAAGCTTGATTCTCTGTCGTGTTGAAGCTTCATTCAGCTGGAAGTTCTGGGCAAAACGAGGACAGTGACAAGAATACGGTCGGTATGGATCCGTCTTCCCTCGTGAACCGTGGTAGACAGAATTGCCCACGGTGTAACCGTTCAAAACTTGCGTGGCCCCCTTTCCGTTTCGAAGCGCGGTTCGAACCTGACAGAAACCTTGAATCAAAGGCAAGAACCTGCTGGGTTCCTGGTCTTGCCTTCCATTGCCTGGGAAGGTGGTACGGTGGAACGGTGGCAGCAGCCTCAACAGCGGGCGGGCACGCACGCAGTGCAGCGGTGCTTCCAGTTTCTTGGGACGCGGCGGCAGGGCGGGAGGCTAAGGCAAAAGAAAGCAGTGGGTCCTTTCCAGGTCACTCTTTCCATTTATGAGGTACGCAGGCGGAAGGGGCAGGGGAAAGTGCCCCCAGGGCCCCCCACCCCGCCTTCCACCTAGAACGATTGGTGTACATCGCAAGGTACTCCGTACCTTATTCGTAAAATCGATTGGCCTCCCGAGGATTCGGCGGACCAAGAAGCCGTGCACTGGCTGCACTGCCCGAGATTGCAGAACATGGGCAAACGTTCCAATGTTCGATCCAGATGTTGTCCATCCCCCTGCTCTGCTGCCACCCCCTGTTACAATGGCGACTTTGCATCGCCGGTTCGACCTTTGATCCATGGAACGTTGATTCGGCTTCGATTACCCTGGCCCAATCGATGCCCTATCCCCGTCGGTTGCCTTCCCTCGGCGCGGAAACAGAGCGTTGCAACGGGTGAGTGGGCTTTACCTACCTTCTTTGCTTTTTCCTTACGCAGGAGGACTCCTGGGAATCTCCCAACATCTGGACCGTCTTGTCGCGACCTCCTATTCTTTCTGCCTGGGACGGTACGTTTGCGAGTCTGTATGGACTTTGTACGCCTCATCTTGACACCTCTCCCCATCGTCTCCCACTTTTCTGCTACTCTGTTTAGCTGTTTTGGTAGCTGCTAGCCTTGGCCGTCTGCCGCTTCCAGGTTGCTAATTCGCGTTCCGCCGTGGGTGGGACACTTGGACAAGGTTCGCTCCCAGTTCCCGGGGAACCGACAAGGGGAGAAATAAAGACAAAGAGAGAGAGCCAAGAGAGAGAGAGAGAGAGAGCATCTTCGTTTTGGTACCCGTAATCCGAACGGATACCCGCCTTTTTTATTATTACAATCAAAATTTCTACCTTCTTCTCATCGTGGCAATTTCCTCTTCCGAGCCCTCCTCGGGTAACGGGTTCTCTTGTTTCCATCTAGTGCTCTGTGTCTCTCTTCTCTTTTTCTTTCTTTCTTTCTTTCTCTCTCGTGTCTCGAGTCTGTACAAGAGACTACTATCCGTACAGCACTGCAACACCTTGGTCTCTCATAACAGTAACAAAAGACCACGCTACCCTGCATTTCTGCCCATCTGGCATCTCCTGACGGGCATCCTTCGGCACGTGCCTCCCGAGTGACACAACCAAACTCGGACTCGTGACGCACGAACTTTCCCACTCCCCCTCAGAGGTCAATCCATGCGACCACTTTAGATCGTCAGGAACGACACTTTTCGTCTTCAGTTTCGCTCCGTTCCGCCGTTCTCTCTTGACCACCACCCCTACTACTACCACTTTATCATTACCTTATCTACCCTACTAGTACCTTCTTCTCCTTCTTCAGCTCCATACTCCGTACTGCTGATTTAATTGTCACGACGCCCAACGCAAGCCCGACTCCTTCTCACAGCAAAACTTGATCCTCCAGCCACCCCCCCTCTCTCACAGTCTCTCTGACTCCTACTCACTCACCCGTGTACAACACATCTTACACACGCGCACACACATCCATCCCCCTTTTAGACACACACAAGCCAACCAACAAAAAGGACGGAATTCCCGTTAATACTCCGAGCGTCTTACCCCAACCCGCGCTTAAAAGCTGCTGGGCCGCTTGCTTGTTGCTTGTTAAGCTCCCTTACGGAGTACTTGCTGCAGCTGCCCGACCTGCTGGGCCGCCCCCGAATTCCAAAAAAAGAAAGACCTTCCTGCAGGGTGTCCGTCGCGTGCCGCCCTTCGCCCGCGCCCTGCCTGCCAGAAAAACCCTGACGACATTCCTGCCTACCCTCACAGGCTCACGGCCACAGTACATAACCAACCCGAACCCTTCACGCCACGCCCCCAGCCAGCCGCTGCAAAACCACCACTTGACGTTCGTCAGCCTCACTGTCGCGCAAGCGTACTCCCTTCTCGTCGTCTTGCGTCTCGTCGCTTTCCCACCGCTGCATCCGACGCGCCCACTTGGCTTCACCCGACGCTCCTTCACCACGTCTCGTACTACGGTAGCTGGGTTCAAGATGGACCACCTCCCCAAGTTTCGCAGAAAACCAAAGATCCCGACAATCTCGACCACCGACGTAAAGACCTCTCCCTCCCGAAACGGCATCGACGAACAACAGCCGCCTCAGCAAATATACCCTTCCACAACCGTCACCGTCACCGGCGGCCGATCCCCGACCCCGACCAAGCCTGGCCTGCGCAAGTCCGCTTTCCGCGGCTTACACCTGCGCAGCTCGGGCAAGCGCTTACGATCCCCTCCTCCGGCATCCCTGCCGCAGTCGCCGCCTCCCGCGATCGTCTCCCACGACGGCATCACCTCGTCCCCGAGGCCAAGAGATAAGGATGGCAGTAGTGGTGGCGTTGGCGCTGGCAACAAGGACGACTCGGCCTCGTCCGGGAAGAGCAGCCACGAAAGCTTCAGGCCCAAGTCGAGTATACCGGCCTTCTTGAACCTTTCCGTACCAGGTACGAAACCTCCGTCTCGTCGCAGACTGGGAGGCGCGGGTCGGGAACTAACTGCTGGGATCCCTGCAGATCTAGACCATAAGTTCCAGGAGCTCGTATGGCAGGAACGCAACCGTCTGGCTGCCGGCATGGCTCCCGATGCTGACGAGACCACGAAATGGGGCTCTTGTAAGCAGGTTGACATGCGCAGAGGCCCGCAAGATCGTTACTTCAACATCAAACCCTGGAACCACAACCGCATAAAGCTGCGCGTGCCCGCAGAAGAGCTCGACTACGTCAACGCCTCGACGATATCCCTCTCTTCTCCCTCAAATAAGGAGCTTCCTCCCTTGCGCTATATTGCGATGCAGGGCCCGACGGAGAACTCCCTAGACTTTGTCTGGCGCATGATTGCGGAGCAGCTCACAGATCCTGTCGTCATCGTACAGCTTACCAGCTTCTACGAGAACAACCAGGTGAAATGCTACCCTTACCTACCAATGGACGAAGAGCACGAGCCCTGGGTTATCAACGAGACTGACGGCTGGAGTGACGGATGGAGCGCTACGCTGACCTTTGACTCTCTCCTGTCCCTTGAGAACGGCGCCATCGAGGTGCGCAAGCTCCTGTTGCGTGTAGGCGACGAGGAGGAGGACCGCATAGTCTGGCACCTACTCTACACCAAGTGGCCTGACTTTGGCGTCCCCGCAGTCGACGACTTGTCCAGCTTCTTCACGCTCATGCGTCTGTCGCGCGAGTACAACACAACCTCGGAGAACCCGCGCATCATCCACTGCAGCGCGGGTGTAGGACGAACAGGCACTTTTATCACTCTGGAGCACCTGATGCGCGAGCTCGACGAGGGCGCGCTCGACGATTACGACGGTGCCGGCGAGGGCGACGACCTCATCTTTGCGACCGTCGATGCCCTCCGCGAGCAGCGCCGCAGCATGGTGCAGGCAGAGTCGCAGTACTTATTCTTGTACCAGGTGCTGCGCAAGCTGTGGCAGGAAAAGTACGACGTCGAGGACAGTGACGGGGACAGCGAGCCCGCAGCTAAGAGGCTGGAGGTTGAGGACTCGTCGACCGACTGAGTGTCGCATACCGGAAAGGACACAGCCCTAAATTTTCTCTTGTCTTTGAGTCTCTCGATTTAATTCACTTGAAGGGAGAGGAAGACTACTGGATTAATGGCCGGGGATGAAGTACGGAGATACCCCTTTTTTTCTTCTTATGGCAAGGTTGAAAGGACATAAACAACTATGATTTAATCGGCAGACTGTGGCGGCATAGCATGTGTAATTTCGACAACTTGTATACCAAAGCAAGCAACAGCATTACCAGGCGTTATGATTTGGGAGAAAGGGGAAAAGGGAGGCCAGCATTGACTAGGCGGGGAGCAAGCATATATGCCCGATGATGGAAATTGTAGGAGTATTGTGAGGCGATGGGGGAAGTTCATGATTCCGGTCATAGCAAACGCCCCTGGCTTGATACAGCGTGGAGGGCAGAAGAGGTCTATGAAGGATTTTTATCATGGTATATTCATGACGAGAAAGAAAGAGATATGGCAGGAGCAGTTGCGCTTTACATGAGTCCCAGCCCGCCTAGAGCGGACCAGATGGCTGCCCATGAACTACACATATACCCCCTCTATAAGAGCAAGAAAAGGGACAATCATCATAGAAGAAACTATTGCAAAGACTGCTTCTTTTCATTCTCAGTTCACAGCTGGAGGCTGTTGATTTCTTGTCATCCATATTCTCGCCATCTTGGCGCTGTCCTCTTTTTTACGGAAAGGCATCATGATGAATTCTCCTTGTCATGCGCGAAGGCAGAACGTCATTTTTTCGGTCAGGAAGTATACTCAGCCAGCACCTTTGATACCTACTGGTTAGTCTCTTATTCTTTTTCCTTTTCGAGGCCAGCAAGAAACCAGAACTGTTGTGTAATTACCTTTCCTTACCTTGCCTTACCTTTACCTTATCTGCATGCCTGCCTACCTGCCTGCCTGACTATACGATAGCTAAAGCAAACAAGGTTGAGCTTTTGACCAGCTTCTCTCTCATACTCCCCGGCGCAAATGTATACTCCGATAGCCCGGTCAGTCTTCCCTTGCTTCCCATTCCTTTTTCTTAGCTCACCTTACCCTATAACCAACCACCAAAAAGGCACTTCTTACCAAGCGGTAGGATCCGGATGTAGGGACAGGGGGACAAAAAGGAGGGAAGGGGAAAAGGGAAGGGGGGGGGGGGGGGAAACAGTGAATTCTTCAACGAAAAAAAGCGGGCGATCTACCGCCATCACGTTCGATTCCTGGCACTTTCTGGTGTTCCCTGTTTTATGATAGGTCATATTTCCACGGAATCGGTCTTTTTCGCAAGAGAGAGAGAGAGAGAGAGAGAGAGAGAGAGTTGGAGGGATGAAAGGATGGGTGGATATGCCGGGGATGGAGTGATTTGTAGTAAGGATGACAACGACGGCAACGTCTGTCCAAAAGACTTGTCGCTCGGAGTTGGCACCATGTCTCCGAATCCGAGGCATAGAAGAGACATCGATTAGCATGGCTGCTGCATCTCGAAGCCGAGAGGGAAGAAACAGCCAACGTGACAACGTCGGACCGACTCCAGACATACTTACCCTCGGCCGGTAGAAGACCTCGGGATGTGATGGACATCCTGCCTTCCAGTCCGCGCCTCTGTGCCTCTGAAGGGCAGTGAGAATGCGCCTTTTGCAAACGGTCAAAACCCAAAATCGCGTTTCCCCTTGTCCCCGGCATCGATAGCGGGGCTCTTTGCGCCCGTTCACGCGCTTCATCGACATTTCGACATGGCATGTCACCGTCACATGGGGGGAAAGGGAGAGCGGGCGGGAATTGCATCCCTCCCTCCATAGCGCTGACCGGTTCCGGGGACTCCCGTCTCGGTGTGAGATTTCGAACCGGGGTTGTTGGTCAGCAGCCCTCCTCTTTCCCGCGGGCCGGGTTGGTCGTGAGACGGCACAGCGGTAGAGGAGGGTTGAGGTTGAGGGGGCGGCGGCCGTCTCTGCGTCTCTGGGGTAGGTATCCGTATGGAGTTTTCGCGAAGAAAAACGAAGGGCATGGTCCCAATCCGCAGCATTCGCCTGCGAAAGTTACCGTCGTCTTGTCAGATACGGAGTACAGTGTACAAGCATTACAGATGACTGCGCGCTCAGCGGGCGGGCGAGGCCGCGCTCTATCTTTACTTCATGACCCCATGTAATGGTGACGAGAGAAATTAAGATTATGCCAGGCAGTCAGAGTGTAATGGTCCATGGGATCGTCAAGGCAGCAACGTCCAAGTCCCTATCCAACAACATCAGCCAAAAATCAGCATCATCGGTGAATGTTTCGATACTAGCAGAGTGCAGATGCTCGGCCGTCCAGAAGACTCCGGCGAGCAGATCCAACAGTCCGAACTTCTTTCCTTGTTATGAAATACAAGGGGAAAGAGTGACCGGATAAATTGAGGCACACGAACGAAGCCAACTCGCTGGGATGGTGAATCCTTGTCTTCTGCAACGGCGGATGATGAGACCCTTGTTTAACTTAGCTGGGCTAACGTCCGGTCACCGGAAGTGAAGCGGAAAGTGAGCCAGATATCAACATGCTCGGTGAATGTACGCCGAGGACTTTCTACCGAGCATTGAGTATTATCCTCCCCGTCGTGTGTTGGCTTTGGTGGAGGCCATTTCTCGCCCCCGGCTGGTGGTCAGTTGTAAGCATCTCTTGGCCGGTTTTGATGGACACAAGTGGAAAAGATGAGATGAAGGACGGCTTGGATGATCCGATGTGGACCTCGGGAGTGTGGACGATGGAGGCATTTCGGACCGGCGCGGCTAATTGAGGGCCGGTTTGTCTTGGTATTCCCGGGGTGTCGTTCTGACCGTGCCGCCGTGCTTGTTGGAGACTGCGAAAATATCGATTACTTTTGGATCACCCGCTGTCTATTATTGGCACTGAAGAATAGAAAACCACCTGTTTCTGAGGGCGTTAGACTGCAACTTTCGAAATATTCGCATGCTGCTCTGGCCCGGCAGTTGTGTGACCGTCGTTGGAACCTTCGCTTCTTCTTGAAAAGGTGGTTATTGCTAGTGCATTCCGTCAGCCTTCGGAAGTGACCAGCACCTTCTGAAAGACTCCTCGAAGATGAGCTATACGGAGTACTGCAGTGACATCCTGTGCCGTTGTTACACGGCAGAAAAGCACGGAGCATGTCGGGCTACCTGATGCGAGGTGCAACGCAACTCATCACAAGTTACGAGTTGCAGCGGTAGGGGGGTGGGGAGACGAGATGAACCAGCAAATGAGTGGCCCTTTGGAAAACCCCAGATCCAAATATGCAGCCGGCGCACGGAAGCACAAGTTGGAGGGCGCAGCCGGCTGTTCTCTTCTGCCCGCTGCGGTTCAGCCAGCGCATATGCCAGACAGTCGGCCAGCTTCCTACAGCTTGCGAGCAACACCCCAGGGTTCCAGTTCTGGGAATGATGATGTAGAGAATGCTACCGTCATGTGTAGGTTGACGTCCAGTCGCATGCGCCGTCAATCCCAGCGTGGTATGGACCATCCAGAGATGTCTGTGCGTTTTCCTTCGCTCATGACTGGCATAGAACGGCGCCGGTACGCTCCCCGAAGCGTGGGCCTGACACATGGTAGCGGCGCATTGAGAGCTGCAAGGTTGGACGGCCACACCAGCCAAAAAGAGCATCTCTCCCGTTGAGGACCGAGAGCGAGTCGATCTTCTTAACCCCGGGCTGCCCAGACGCTGCCGGCTGCTGCTCTGGAAGACGAGTCTCTTCCAAGTCGATCATCCTCGACAGTGACTGCGGTTTGATAGAAGATGGGCGGGCGCAGGAAAGGCCAAGGCGAGAGCAGAAAAGCAGAGCAAGTTTCGATTGAAGCGTTGCTTGCGTGTGCAATCAAATTTTGTACCTGCTTGAGGGTGTCCCGATGGTGTAGATAGTGATAGTCTTTCGATGCCTACCATAAGTCTCTTTGGATCCTTAATTCCGGATCACGGACGAAACTTCCCGTGAGGACCGGATCACAGAGCTTGAGCTCAGTCTGGCCAAGCGCTCAAGCGTCGCGCAGGTTTTGTAACTTAGCCCTCGCCGCCGCGGGGCCACGGAAGCTTTCCCCAGATAACTATGAGAATGGAAATCAAGGTCGGTGGAAGGTTTGGGCGGTGGACATGACAGCGAAGGTGTGTGAATGAATGTGTGTGTGTGGATGCAGGCTGATGATGGTGTGGGTGAGATGAGTTGGCCCAACGGGCGGCAGTTGGGACTAGAAGCGAGGCTGTATTGGGATTAAAGGAGGGCAAGGCTCCATACGGCAGGGGCAGTTGGTCGCCAGGAGAGAGGCCACGATCCGTGATGCAGGTTGCGAAGTGTCTTGGATGGGTGGTGTTGAGGTGAGGTCAAGTCGAGCGGTGAGACGACGTGTAGTGAGGGAGTGTAGAAGCAAGTCAGAGAGACCTTGGGATGAGATCGAGTCGGGACAATTCCTGTCAGTTGTCTGATAATCTGATTTGCGGATAAGAGAAAGCATGGATTCGAGATAAGCAGTCCAACTGTGACTTGTCCGGCAGCGCAGGTGAGGGGATCCGGGGGAAGGTAATTGCAGTGAACTGACAGCTGCGAGAGGCATGTGTTGGGTCTGAGCGTTGCTTTCCGACCAGCCGGAAGACTTCCTAAATCTCTTGATGGTTGCTGAATCTACCAAGTTTCCGCAGCGTTCTCTATGATTGTAATAACCAACAGTCAGATGGGAATTAGGTTTGGAGTAGCAGAGGGATTTGTGATTGCTACTGAAAGGTGATTGGAGAGTTGCGCAAGTGGGTGAAGAACCGGGAAATGGCGATGTTGGAAAAAAATTAGAGAGATCCCGGCCCGAAGCGACGTCGCAGCTCAGCTGAGCTGATGGAATGTCTGTCATGTAAGCCCGCCCCAAAGTAAGCGGTGACGAGGGCAATGAGGCTCCAATGCACGTCTACACCGCCGTAGCAGTATGCGGTATGACGGAGACGGCCATTATACGTAGAAAACGTGTCGTTTACTCTTTTAAGCTCAACGATGCAACAGGTTTTCATTTGTTTCCATGGGTGGTCCAAGTCTTCGTCCATGCTTGGCCCGGTGAGAGTCAGAGTCAGTCGGGACCAAGGACCAGGATACCGGTCCAACAATCACATGCTTTACGTGGGCATTTTATTTGTACTCCAAAGATGATTGAGGATCTTTGCAAAACAGGGGTTGATACTGGGGTGAAATGACGGGGCCGGATCTGAGCATGATAAATGGAAACACAAAGGATCGCAATGCCGCCGTGCTGGCGAAAAGACTTGGGATGGCTGGATTGAGTTTGCAGGCCCAGGCGGAATCTTTGTCGAGTTTCCGTAGTCTGTACGTAGATTGTGAGTGTGTCAGACATGTTTTCGTCTGGTGTTTTTGATACGTGAAATACCAATGTCCTTTTGCGGTCAAACGAGTCAAGGAAGAGGGCGCTAGTACATAATGCCGCCGGTAATGTTTCCGGAGCTGCGTAATTGAGCAATGAAGAGAGAGACTCAGGAGAAACAAATACTGCCCGTTGGGTCTTTGCTGGTTAGGGTTAGCGCCAGCCGCGTTGGAAGTTTGTAAGTGAAGAGCGAAAGGAAGACTTGGATGGCAGGCCGCAGACCAGCTTTGCGTTTCCTATCCAAGGTACGGAGTACGGGTACCTAGCTAAGATCACGATGACAAGGCGATGCGGTCAGTCGAGCAAGTCGAGAGGCAGCAATGACAACTGACAGTCAGGAGCTAAGCAGGGCTAAGGTAGGTCGGAGGGAATCAGGAAGTGCTAACCCGAGTGCTAGACCAGCTTGGGCATATGTAGCTAAGGTAGGCTGGCTGTCATTCTCTGGCGTTGGGTAAGGTGGATGTATCATGGATCAAGATGAAGGCATGGTCCGAGGCGAGTTGTGAGCGAAACACTTGAGTTTGGATAACTGAGAGGTGCAGCTTGCAATAGAGCTGCAAGGTCATTGTAAGCTGCAAGGTGAAAAGTCTGTGCTAAGGTACCTTAAGGTGAAGAAGCATGGAAGGTAGCCGGACGTCTGGGACCCTGCGCGCCTACCTTACATTACCTACGCCTGCGCCTGCCGCACTTTGCTGCACCTGCTCGTTTGCATTTGCACCGCGGCACCGCTCTTGCACTTTGCACCGATGAAGCGAAACTGGCGATCCGGTGGCGTCCAATGGCAGGTTTCGACTGGGTCCATCAGGTCAAGATTGAGAATTTAGGAATGCGCAGATGCAAAGTTGTACCTTCCACGTGAGCTCTGAACCTGTCCTGTCTGAACGGAAGGCGCGAGTGACGAGGCCCCGTCCGCTCCGTACCTACCTCAGGTCCGTACGAGAAAGAGCCCCGCATTACCTCATCCCCTCCTTCCCGACTCTCACTCGTGCGAAATCAACCCCCCAGACTGATGCGCGAACTCGACACTCGAGAGGGAAGGAGCACCTTTTGGTGAGATGGTATCCTAATTTTCCATCGGGACAACGACACACAATTGACAAGGTCTCCCATTCTATCCTCCTCACTTGCCCCATTCATCTACCAAGACCCCTATGAGTTGCCGGAAGCAACTTTTGTGACTTGTCTGGGGGCGGTCAGCAACTCAGAATACGCCTACGCCTGCCGCCTGCCGCCTGCCGCCTGCCTCGGTCGACGCCCAGGTACCCTGCATCTGAATACCCAGAAGGAAGGAAAAGAAAAGGTCCACCAGCAAACGACAGAAACACCGAGAGTCCAAACGGAACAAGCACCACAGGCCTCGATCCCCCTTTCTTGTGCCTACGAAGTACACTACTCGGCCGATGGCCGTGGCAAGACACCAAAGTTATTGAAGGTACTCCGTACCTCAAGTCGTGTACGGATACAGCTCACGTTTTGCCAAGCAGCTATTTTCATCCACTTCACTCACTGCCGTCCTCGGTCCCGTCATCACCAAGTATCGACGGGGTATCCTCACCCGCAAATCCCAAGCCAATTCGACTTGGTCTTCACCTCCATCTCCATCTCGAAAACAACTCTGCGAGCCATTCTGACCCTGCAGTGGAGCAGACTAGGACCTTGCCCGAGAACTCTCAACTGTATGCTTACAGAGCACATGGCGAGGCAATTGGCAACGTCACTAGGAAACCCGCCTTTTTCTTTGCCCGTGCCATCGTCCTGCACCACCGCATTGCACCTCACTGGCGACCGTGCACCGTTCCTGGTCCCCCCCGTTGAAAGTTCCAGCCCACTCGCTGGAATGCTTCTGGAAGATGTGGACAATTCTACCCCTCGTTTGAATTCCTTCCACTGCGCCAAGTCACATCCTAGCAAGCCTGCCACTCGCGGTCCAACTGGGTCTTTGCTTGCAGCCCTCTTGTCCACTATCCACATCCGGCCGACAGGGATATTGCTTCTTTCCGATCAAGGGGGACACTGGGAGACTGGACTGCTGCGGTGGCACGGGTGCTTCTCAGTCCAGTCAGCTGCTTGCGGTTGCGTCGGGTTTTGGCCCCCCCCATTTTCTCGAGAAAGGAAGAGGAGAACAACAAGACAACCCTGGTTTCCCACCGTCGGGTCGGGCAACAAGAGACACGAGGAAAAAGAAAGCTGAACCAGGTCAGGGACATTGGGCTCGGGATTTCTTGGAACGTCGAGATTCCCGAATACCTACCTACTCAGGAACCTGGGGGCAAAGAAAGCACTGTTCCCTACGAGGCTACAACCACCCATGACCGCAACGGAGAACGTGCGGAGTTTATTTGGCTCTGCTATGCTCTGCCCTGCCATTGCTCGTGGGAGGTTTGTCCGACTTATTCGCGAATAGCTACGCCGTGAAATACTCCGGTACGGTCCTCGGTATCTGTACCCTGGGGACCGACTTACTCTTGAATTCCTTTCATGACCACCGGCCGGACAATCTGTCTCAAACCGCCTTGCGATTCATAGTCACGACATTCGGAACTTGACCCTGCCCTAGCGCCTGCAACTCCGTTACCTTGCGGCCCGTATAATGCCTCAGTCAGTTTTGTCCCCTCCACTCTCATTTTTGGATCAGGGACGTCTGACGGAGCAGTTGCACCACAACGGCGCATCTTCCTACACGAGCGTCCGTAGTAGCTAACGTGCGGTCAAACCATGCTGTACATGCCTAGAAACTAATCAACCACTCGCAATTCCCGGCATGCCTTGGCCTCTGCGACCCCTACTCCGCCGCGAATCTCCTTTGGATGTTAGCGCACCGCTATAGAGCAACGCTTTACATACGAAGAACTCATTGTCTCCATTGAAACGACCCCATTTCCCAGCAAGGCTTCGTAGTCCGTCCCCACTGGCACGCGACGACACGACGGCTCCGGCTTATTACATACAGAGCACAGTGAGAGACAATGGGTTAGCAAATCATTGGAATTCGTCAAAGACTCAAAAAAAGACTCAAGAATCGCTAAGGTAGGCCGGGATTCCTTTGGCCAAGGTGGGTCTTCCGAGTTCTAGAGCGAGTCAACAGCCCGGCCCCATTGTCCAGGTCGTCCCACGTCTTGGTCTCCCGGGCCCGGGTCTCACGTCCACGGTGGTGTTTTCTTGTTGCCATGTTTTCGAGTCCCTGGTCGTTGCCAGTATCCAATCGCAGTTGTGTCCGAGGTCCCAGTCCCGAGCCGTCGGCAGCGACCCAAGGCCAGGTACCGATCAACTACTGAGGACCATCTGGGTGGATGAAGCCCACGATAATTGTAGGAGAATATTCATCGTCTACCTTATTGTGTATGTCACGGGGTTGTTTGTTTTCTCTGACGTGCCCCGCACCTGAAGAATCGCCTTGACTTTTTTTTCTCCGCCTCCCCCCCTCCACAGGGCCACGTTCATCCCACTCGATGAATGAAGAAATATGTGATGTGGTAATAACTAGACTGAGCTTGCCGTTGCCGCCGACCCGTTGAGGTCCTCGTCCTCGTCTTTTTCTGGT